TCTATCATTCTTTGTTTGGCAAAGGACTGACCGAGATACCTGCCTGTATGGAAAATTCGCGAGGTACATATATCATATATGTAAATATAGATATTAGGGCCCTGTACCAACTTCATTTTCCCTACAGGCTACAGGATACTACTACCCAAACTGCGAATAGCAGACCCGGGCTACCCCTAGGACAGACAGGCCCTACGGGCCTATGCTGATAGATGGTCCTATAGCCTATAGTCGGGTAGGGTTAGGCCCTAGAGGGCCAATAGAGGCCCTAGAGTCTCTACCTGCCTGTATGGAAAATTTGCGAGGTACGTATGTCATATATGTAAATATAGATATACGGGCCCAGTACCAACTTCATTTTCCCTACAGGCTACAGGCTACTGATACCCAAACTGCGAATAGCAGACCCACGCTACCCCTGGACAGACAGGCCCTACGGGCCTATGCTGATAGACGGTCCTATAGCCTATAGTCGGGTAGGGTTAGGCCCTAGAGGCCAAAAGTGGTCAGTCAATATGGTCTAGGTCGGTCTAGGATATGTGTAGATTATAGATAGGATGTGGACACCGGAGGTCTGATGCGTTGGAGTACGTGCTGCACTGCTGAGTCAGTGCTGACCCTCCTCAGGAGTAGGGTCCCGGGTTCCTAGACTCCGTGTGGCGATCCAGCCATAGCTGCATCTTCTCAGAGATTATCATCATCTGGACTTCATCTTCATCAGGTACTGTTGGCGGTGAGCTTCTACTTCATCATCTGAGTGGCGATCGCCGATTGGCTCTGGGAGCCCATTTCACTTTCGCGCAGGCCACTGAGTTGGATGTCAGGGTGGCGCTGGCGCCGCTGGGCCGCTGGCCCGCTGCGTGTTACCTGGGGTGTTGGGGAGGCTGGGGTTTCGTAACTTTTGTTGCTGTTTTTTAGCTGTTCAGGGTGTTGGGGTTGAGGYGCTACCCCTTTCAGGGTAGCGCAAYAGGGTTCTGAACTTCTGAGGTTATTTTAGTTGAACGATGCTCTGAGTTCAATAAACAGTGTTAATACTGTGTTTGAGTTGTCATCTCTCCATTGCTTTCTGGTTGTGAATCTTGCGATCACTCGGTTGTTATCTATGAATGATTGTTGTGGAGAGAATTCACTGAATTATGTATTCTGTCACTTCACTTCTTTGAGTCTTCCGTTTAGTTTCTTCTTTTAGGCGGCGGGACACTCCAGACTCCAGTACCTCTCCCCCTTTTTCTGTGCTTGTATGGGTGTGCACGGGAGTTCCGGTGAGTGAGTGTTGGCCAAAGTTCAACAGACAGTCATGTTCATAGCATATGTGTGTGTGTGTGACGGCGTGTGTCTGTGTGTGTGTGTG